ACCAGCGAAGGGAGGGCCACGGCCAGCCCAGCCCAGCGCCTGTGGAGCGCGGCTCGCCCAGGTCCAGATCTGGGTGCGGGGTGTATGAAGAGTGTGTAGGGGTGCACATGGGTGCCATATGAGCCGTGTGCTGCCGAGCCTGTGGGGATGTGGGGGTTATAGACCTTGTAGCTATGGCTGCATGTAAGGGAAGGGTAGAGTGTGCTTATGGGCTTGCATGGGCTGTGAATGAAACACATATGGGAGATCTGTGTGTGTGTTCTGGAGGAACCGCATAGCTTGCGTATAGGGGAGAGCACAGAGGATGTGAAGGTTTGCCTGGGACTGGGATAGGATGCCCTGGGGGTGGGTGTGCATGTGGGTATGTCTGGGGAGTGCAGGGGTCTGTGTGGAGCTGCAGCCTTGCCGTGCAGTGCCCTGATGCCAGCTACAGGACATTGGCCCAGGCACACGGGGCCTCGGGGCTGCCCTGCCTCCCCCACCCCCAGGGCCTGCCCAGGGCCCGTGCTCTGGCACATCTGCCTAGGGACGTCCAAATCTGGGGCAGGGGATTTATTTTAATAAACCGTTTACAGTTAATTGTGTTAAGTGCTAAAGTAGTGTAGAAGGAAGAGCAAATGAGAGATGGGGACTAACTGAATCCTCTTCAACAATAAGACCTTGGAACTGCTGTTTTATAATATGGAGACCCTGAAGAGGAAATGTATGAAATTGCATACATTGCAAACTTAAAGCCTTTTTACTCTGATAATTTTTTTTCATTTACACAATTTAAAAATCCAATCAACTGCCTATTTGAAATAGATTTTTAGCCAGATTATAAACATAGATGGGAATAGATATAAAAAGAGCCTAGGCTCTATGGAAAAGCCTTTCTTTTCTGTCCTCTCATGTTCTTCTGTGCTGCAGATTGCTGCTAGGTTTGTTAATACACGGTTCTGAACTGATACAGGAAAAGGAAAGCACAAGCTGTAGAAAACCTGCCTCCTCACCAGGCACTAAGAAACTTCTAATGGTGATGAGTAAACCACAGCCCAAGCTACAATTCCTTCTCTCCCCTCACTGTTTCATCTTAACAGCCGTCAACTCAGAAAAATGGGACCAAGATAAGCAAGTCACAGCAAAGCTGCTCTTGGCTACAGTGATGTCAAGGGTTTTATATTTGCTGAGACCTCAGTGTTTTCCAGTTTGATTCTGAGGTGACTTTTTCTGCCATTGATAGAGCATGTGTCCTGCAACTTAATTAGCCTGTACATGGAGGCAGTGCAGGATGCTGCCTTTTCCTGGTGTGTCATTCCTGGTACCTGAGCTTCAGTGAAGGATGAGAACAGTTACCAGCATGAGTCTGTGAAAAGTTACAGTCATCACTTTTGACTTTTTCAGGTGTAGTATAAAGGGAGTACACTGGGGGGAATTGCTGCTAACTCTTCATGAGGAGGCAGTGTTAGGTTTCTTTTTCCTAATTCCTTTAGATTGACTCTTAGGAGAATGAGATGCTTTTACTGTTTTAAAGGCTCTGGGACTTTGAAAATAGGTTGATATTTATTTATTTATTTATTTATTTATTTATTTATTTATATTTTGACCAGAATCACTGAGAAGAAATCACTTTAAAGAAAAGCAATTTTATTGTTGGAGGTTCTGAGTACCTCAGTCCTCACTTGCTCCATTAAACCTCTTTCCGCTATTGGTTACATCCAGCCAAATTGATACTCCTGGGCTTTTTCCTTCTCAGTACATGGTTGTGGCAAATTGATTGCCAAAAGTTTTTCACTTTAGTCCAAAACAAATGGTAATCAATTCCTGATAATTGCTGACATGCTTGACTCTCTGTCTATAGTGGATTTCAGGTGGCAGTGCATGCACACAGAGTTCCACAGCTACACACCCAACAGCAGAGCTGTTAAAAGCAAGATGTTTGTTGTATGAACACTTCTTTTCTGCAGATAAATGATTATTTGTCATTAGAATACAGAAAGTACATGAAAACCAAAGAGCCACACAGAGCCAGGGACAAGCTTTCTTCGTCCTTCTCCGTGGTCTGACTGAAGACTGTACTGCCAACACCTTCTTGGGAAGGAGTTTTCTTCTCAACATACTTTAACTGTTAAGAAGATGCTTCTCTGCATCATCCTTGTGCTTTTCTATGCTGATTTCTAGCCTAGACTTCATGAAACCTTTTTGTTGTAAATGTTCTCATGTCTTACTAGTTGGGAATCGCTGCTCCAGACAATCTTGTAATAGCATCACCGTCTCTGCTTTCAATTTAAAATGATTGCTCAGGCCTTAAACACTCCAAAGAACAAGACCCAGTGTTGCCAGTGAACCCACATCTGCCTTCAGCTGAGAGGGAGGAGTAGGAGACACTTGAATCGTGATGAAAGCCACTGAGCTCCATAAGGAGAGCAGACGGTGCCCCTGCTGGGTTTCAAGGGATTGACTCATTTTCAGCAGAGCTCATCTTTTTTCCTATTTTATTTTGCTGGGTTTTTTTGTTGGGTTTGTTTTGTTTGGTTTATTAATTGCACAAGTCAGATCAAGAAGGAAAAGAAAGGAAAAAACCTGAGGGATCTCCCATCCTAGCAGAAACCAGAATGACATAACACTTGATGTCCAGTCACAGTTCATCCCCAGAGTCCTCTTGGGACCATTTATCTTCTAGTTGGGCTGCTGTCCTAAGAGCCGTCTAGAATGCTGGAAGTCAATAGTTCCACTTCTTTAGATGCTGATCTTAAATGTGATCAAGCTCAAGATAATGAAAGTTCAGATATGACATTTAATACTGCTGGCTACAGTAATCCTGTGCATTCTGAACTGGCTGCTTGAGGGTTGGTTTTTAATTGTAAACATCCTCCATGCAGCTGCTCCAGGGACGTGTTTAGGAAACAGCGGCTGGCTGTGTTTAAAGGATTTCAACTCATCTTGACCTACATTTAGATTTTTGTAGCTTACAAGCCACGGACTGTAACCAGCAAAACCCTCAGAGAGCTTATATAGCTTCTGTAGGGCAGGGCACGGGAAGTGAGTGAAGGATGAAGTTACCCAGCTGAAGTGTTAGGAAAAGTGAGTTACTGAAGCTGAACTACAGGGTTCAGATGATTATCAGGTGATTAGGAGAACAAGGAGCAGCACTGCACAGAGGGAATAAAGATAACCTCTCCTTTTGCCTTATGCTTTCTTCCCTATTCATTCTTTCAGTCACAATCTTTCTGTAAAATCCTTTAGGCTCCTTTCAGGATAAAGTTCAGGAGGTACCTAAACACAATTGTATTTCGATATGTGCTGCCTTCTCACTTACACTTCTGCTCCAGAAATTGCTTAAGTTTAGGGCTTGTTCCTGATATGACCCTTAATTAAGCAGGGAAACTGCTAGAATCAGATACTTAGGAATTAATTTTGTTGGAAAGAAACACATTTGTCCATTTCCCAGAGCCCATTCTTTGTTTTCTTTCTGACACAAGGGATTGTTTTGGGTTTTTTTTTTTTCAGAATGTAAGCACTCATTTTAAAAGCAATGCAGTTTCTAGCCTCTTGAGATTAGAAGATAATCTTCTAAAAAAGTGAGCTCTTCCCAAATCTGCAGGCAGACTAAATTATCATCCTCATCCTGCTTATGTCTTTGCTGATTGTGAACATAGAAAGCATTAAAAGCCTGTGAGTTTCATGCTGCAAATAAAGATTGAGTATGAAAGGAGGGAGGAAGCCAAGAGGTCAGACACGATGTAGTACTAACATTGACACACAACATTTAGGCCAGCATCAGTTTACTCAGCTCAGGAGAAATAAAAGATGATTAGATGTGCCAGCAAAAGACCACACAGGTAGTTATACCTATCTGGTGTACAAGTATCTGAGCCTTTATACTTCTATGTTTGATGGAAAAAGGCAACAGGGCTGTAAGCATTTGACTGCTGGGGAAACTTCAGATTTGGAAACTCAGCAGCTGTTTTATCATCTTGTATTTAGAGGCTGGAACAACATGAACTAGTGAATAAACAAGGAAAATCTAGCAATTTAATTGATTTTAATAGCAGCTAAATTGCACAACTTGGGTTTCAAACTAAGAGACTGTTCAGACTAGTGGACCAAATATTTGGTTGAACTAGGAATATTCTGCACCTTCATTTTTTTAAAGCCACAGGTGGTGGCAGAGAGCTTCCACTTTCATAAATTACAGCATCAAAACCAGTAACTACTTCTGACTGTTTGCTGAATGAAATCCATCAGCAGGGTGCTAAAGGTTTTCGTGTAAGTCGTGCAGCAGATAAAGGGAGTGGTTACTCTGTGTTGTGCAAATGGACAAGAGAAACAGATACCAACTGAAGCTTGATTGACCCTGCAGATCAATCATAGAATCACAGAATATCCTGAGCTGAAAGAGACCTACAGGTCTTCAAAGTCCAGCTCCTGGCCCTGCCCAGGACACCTCAAGTTACACCATGAGCCTGAGAGCCTTGTCCAAACACTTCCTTGGCTGCTGCTGTGACCACTGCCCTGGGGAGCAGTGCCCAGCCACCTTCTGGGTGAAGAACCTTTTCCTAATATCCAACCCAAACCTTCTTATGGTTTACTGTAAAGACAACCAACAGAAGGAAAATCTTCCCACTCTGTACTGGGCAGTTAGCTTTGTCCTTTTTCATGAAATGGGAACAGTGCCTGTGTGCAGGGAAGACAGAGTTTTTTGTCCTAAAGCTCTCACTTCAGCAGAGCTAAATGCAAATTGATAGGGGGAGTTTGAGATGAATCAGAGGCTGAGAAAATTCAGCAAATATGCCTATTACTGTTTCTATCCAAGCACAGTTATATTCTTCTCAATAATCTACAGTGGAGAGCATCCATTACATCTGGAGTTAGTGCTCATTGCTATGCATACAGAGACCAGCCAAGCCAGCTACAGAGTATAATTTACTTTTATTACAACCTTCAGTCTCTAATCTCAATTTCTAGCCTAAAGAAAGAAGCACTGGTCATGGCTACATGGCTACAGCATAATTACAGAGATGCACGATATTCTAATTTTATTGTTGTTCTTTTTTTTCCCCCTCTTTTTAATGCAAAGCTAAAGAATGCAAATATCCCAACCCTTGGGAATGAAAGGGAAGAACAGTGCGATAGAAACAATGTCTGGCAAGTGTTGTATAACACAGATTTGTTGCTCTCAAGAATTAAACATGATAAATTGAGAGATATATTTGAAGTTTGCCTAATTCATGGCAATAAAATTGTTGTTATTTAACAAAGCTCAGATTAGGTAACTTCAACAGTTATGGGAGAGTAATGTAGCATTTGTAATAAAAAGCTTTTGCCAGGAAATTCTGTTCAGTTATCAACCAATACACAAACAGTCAAAATGCAAAAAGATAAAGTTACCTGTGAATGCAGCACATACCTGACCATGCTCCAGTGCACATTTGGAATTTCCAAGCTCCCACAGCAGGAGTTTCACACAAGTAGTTCACTATCTGTATTTTGGAAGCCAACCCCAGTTACACTGCAGATATACCCAGGCTTCAGGATTTATAGTCAGATGTCTATTGCAGAGCAGGTGAAAATATGCAGCTTGTTGAGGGGAATGCTCCCCTCCAGGAGGGGAATGCAGGATGTCCCAGGCACTTCCAAAACAGCTGTATTGGCACATCATTCAGCTATGGCACATGTACGTGAAGATACCATGTAGATGTAGCTAGTACAGTTTACAGATCTAGGGAGAGAGAAAATGAATACTTGTCCCCTTCCTTGTTTTTCCCCGAAAGAGGAAAACATTCATTTTTACCAAATTTAATGAGAGAAACCAATCTGTCTTTATTGGTGCCCTAGCTGAAAGTATTGTCAGCAAATTCCATCTAGACTAAAAGCTTTAAGTCCCTGTGGTAGTGTCAGATTTCTCAGACTTTAAGTTAAAAATGAGTTTGAGCAGATTAACTAGCTGGGACTTGAAGATAAAGCTGGCTTCTCTTAAAGAAATGTGTTTTATACACTGTTAAGTGTGCTTGGTTCCTCTTTTATTCAAAGGAAGTAAATGAGTTTTGTGAAAAGAACCTTCAATAGGGTCTTTTCCTTTTAAAACTGTGGAAGAGTTCCAGCCAGTCTGTAGCACTGGCTTGAACTTTGTTTTTCTCCAAAGCAAGAACCCTTTAGTTTTCAGTGGCTTCCACATTTTTTCCTCGTCCCTTTGTAAAATGTGCCAGTGAAGTCAAGTGGGTTGTATTAACATTTTTCCAAACATTCACACTTAGGACCAAAAAAGGAAATATTTAATAAATATAACCAGGAATATGTTGGAATGTTGATCTTTTGATGATGATAAGAATTTTCAGTCATAAGGTCTAATTAAATACCCTGAGTTGGAAATGCTTCCAGTGACTGTTACATCTCCTTGTTATCTGGTCGAACATTTTTAAGTTGGCCCGAGTGGCTTCTGTGCCAAAGTGATATTTTTAATGTGAATAACACACATGCACAAGAGACTGCATTAAAATTCACCTAGGCTAGTGACATTTTGGCATCTCAAATCTGCTCTGAAAGCTTCAATTTAACTTTATGCATGGGGGGATAAGTGGAAATGAAGCAGCTCTGCAGTGGTAGTTGTATGTGTTTGTTTAGAACAAATTTTTTTGGTCTAAGAAAAATGTGGCTTAGTATGGCAGTTTGGACTACCATTGCTGACATTCTTAAATTGTGATGGAGTGGGAAAAAAGGGATATAAAGACATCACGTGAGACAATTTTCCAAAAATAAATGTAACATTGTTATTCAAGAAAAAAAACATTTTTGCCAATATTAGATAAAGAAAACAAAAATTAAACCCAGAGATAGCAAGTGACTAATTAACCACTTCTGATTAGGAGCAGGAAAATTCCAGTAGTACTCAGATAGTCAGAGCTGCTCTGTATTAACTGGTAAAACAAAAAACATTTAAAGAGACAATCAGTGCCCCAAGGAGCATCTCCTCTACGTAGACAAGTCAGACAAAGGAAGCTCATTGTTTTAGAATTAGGGAATTGAGGCACAGAATAATTGTCTTGTCTGCAGCCAGTCTGTGGTAGGAGGGTAATTGAATGCAGATCTCCTCACCACATGCACATTCTCTATCTTTATTCCAACTGGTCAGCTGAAACAGCCTTTCATTAACTGCTCTGTCAACATACCAAGAATTACAGAAGACCAAGAACATTTCATATGCTTCAAATCCACTTCTCCCACCATGGCATTTAAAAACATGTAGAGCAAACACTTACCATAGACACACTGAGTTCTCCAACCCAGAGGTTATATCCTCCTCCTGTGATATTCCTACTGATGTTCTATTTTGAACTCCAGCTTCCTGCTACAGGATCAAGTTTTTTCTTTAAAAATCTTGAAAAACATTCCCATATTTCCTTTAGCTGGAAGGTGAAGCTTTATTTACTTTAAGCTAGGCTCTGCTTTCCTCACACAGTGAATGGCATTTACCTGTTCAAACATGGTAAACCGCATCACCCACATGAAGTGAGGCTATCATAGCGCTCCTAAAGGCAGTAAATGCAATTCTCAGCTCCACCAGCTGAAGCTAGGAATTAATCTTGTTTGTGTCAATGTAGTTTTTGGAGAAATCAAATCAGAAAATAACCACAGGAAGGTTTTGGGACACCAAAGAAAATTAGATCAGGCCACTTAGCTGAGCTCAGTGACTCCAGATAAAAGGGGCAGTTCACAGTCCAACTTCACTCTAGGCTGTGACACAAGGGGGGCAGAAGGTGTTCCCCAAAGCAAAGTATTTTCTTTTATAGACCTGTGAAAATACCTCTCCCAGTGGGGCTCCAGAGGCCTCCTGCAGTACAAATAACCAACTGCCAAGTCAGGCCATTTGCTTTGCTAAACACGGCCTTCTCCAAAGCATTTTTATGTTACACATTTGTGTATTTTATTCATACACATCTTAACCTACTGGGAATCAGGGAGGAGAAAGCACTTAGAGAACAAAGTGTGAAGGCCTCCATTTGTTCACAGGACAACTGAGCAACTATTTAAGAGCATTGGCATATGGGCCATGATAGAAACAGCATTTCAGGTGCTTAAGATGAGGAATAGTAATGATGACATTTTGGTCCTTCTCTTTGGTGGCTTCTCTTCGCTTGAAATATAGAAATCATTTGATCTTTGCATGACAAGGAGTTTTGTCAGCACAAGGGAAATTTTACCAAGTAGGAAACAAATCTCTGATTCCTTAGAAGCCTGGGAGTGCTAAATCAGTGTTTGTTAGCCTCACAGCCATCATCTCAGCAGTGCCAGGTTACTCTATCAGTCAGGCTGCCCTGCTCTTTCTTCATAGTGCAACATAGCCGAACCCCATTTCCTAAAATACTCCCCTGTTAAAGTTTGTGACTGGAGCACTACCCTAAAGTCTCTTCCTTCCAAAGACTCAGCATTTTCTGGTGTCCAGCAACACATTCAGATTCTTTCAGGTGGTCTGAAAGTCTTTCAGGACTCTGACTTCAATGTGGCAGGGAGTTCCATAATCTAGCCCTGTGCTGAGAAAATATATTTTAAATCAGTATTGGCTGCTGCCTGATACCACTTATAAGAAAAATATAAAAACAAGAAAAAAAAACCCACAAGAAAAACAAACCAACAAAAAAACGCCACCCCAAAACAAACAAAAAACCCCTCAACCCACTCCCCTCCAAAAAACCCAAACCAAACCAAAAACAAACAAAAACCCAGAGGAATAATTTGTGCAAGGTTGAATTTTGTTTCTTAGAAAAATACCCTATGCCCTTCTTCATCTCCCCTCCAAGGAAAGCTAAAGGATGCCTAGAATCTGAGTGCAGGGTGAGAACTAAATGGGAAGAGTTCTTGTTCCTTTTTTGTGCTTGCAAAGTAATGGGTAAATAAGTGGTTGTGTCCTTTATTTGTTTTACTTACACAATGAACACATCCTCCTGCTGCTGGCATCTTACAGCACCAGAGGAGACAGGTCTAAAGTACAACTTAAAAAAGTTTAATTGCTTGCCATAGCTCCCAGGCATGGAGATAGGATAAACTCTCTCAAATTCCTTCAGGCAACCTCTCATGTAGAGGAGAGGAGACCCCATTTAACAGTGCCCTCTCGTGCCTGATGGAATAAAGCACCTGGTTACAGACCAAGTGCTTGGCTCCGTGTGGGGTGTTGCATCCACAGGATGCTTCGGAGAAGAGGATGTAGGGCAGCATTCACGTGAGCAGTTTCCATTATGGAGAGAAAATGAATTAACTGTACTCTAAATAAAATCATTCCCTCTCTAGACCACTTCCAAAGCAGCAACTACTGCTAGTGAGGCTGGCACAATATCATCAGCATAGTCACAGCCAAATTTTCATTCCTAGAGTTAGATCTTGTCCTCCAGCTCCAAAGTAAGGGCTCCTTTTGCTACGGAGGAACAGGACTCCCCAAGGAGAAGGAAAATAGATGGGAAGCAGCTGGCTCTGTCTCATGTTAACCCTTGAGCTAAGCACAGGGTAACTTCAGAGCATCCCTGAACTTTCAGGCTAAAAATGACTGATCACAAAAATGAGAACCAGCCCAGAGACACGCACATAGTACTGAAAAGAAATGCAACTCCTTTTTTTTCCCCGTCTGATCTTTCTCTGTTCTTCTTCCTGGTCATTTCCCACATATGCTTATCCCACGTGCTTAGTGTAAAATACACTGTATCTGCTTGTACTCACTCACAACACAGCTCTTCTAGCACAGTGCCACTCAGAATTACAGTTCCAGGGGCAGTTTCTTAATGCCAGTTACACTCTTCCTTTCACCTGTGCTAGGAAAAGTGTAATTTAAAAATAGATTGTCTTCCTTACAGCAAAGAATCTGCAGACATAAAAGTTATCATCTCTTTTCAGTCCTGCAGTGAAACATTGGGTATTCAAGTAATTTCTGATCAGAAGAACAATTTTTGTCATGGGCTGCTTTATGCCTTTGCAGTCCCTATATATTTTGATATAAAATATTTTGATAAGATGTGCTTCTGCTTTTTGACAGATAAGCAGACTAATTCCCTGGGCACCAGCCTAACTCAGGCTTTAGTTGTCGTTTATTTGTATTTCTTGATCAGCTACAATTTCAGATTCTAGGTGTTTGGGTTTTGTTGGGTTTTTTTCTCCTGCAGAGGGGAAATTTTTAAGAGATCTTTAGTGTATGGATAATCTCAGCCTACATGAGCATTCTTGCAGCAGGCTTTCAGGGCATTTACAGCTCACTCCCTTCTATACAACTCCTAATTTTCTTGAAACCTGTAGCAGGTCAATTATCTTGCCGTTCCCCCCCTGCCCCTTCTTCTGTCACATTAGCTCAAAATCAGGCAATGAGTTCAAAAGCTATTAAAGGGATACAGACAGATACCAAGATCATATAAGTCTCATTTCCTTAATAAAGTAAATTAACATTTCAGATGGTGTCTGGTTTTCATTGCTCACAGTCTAGACAAAACAGGCATACACAGGACAGACAGGGCATTAGAGCTGAAATTCATTTTTATTACATTTTCACAGAAAAGAAATTACAAGTTAACAATAAGAATAATTTCTGGGGACAGATCAAGAGAATGGCTACAGAAGTAGCAGCATCATGTCTATATTCCCAGATTTATTTCAGGAGAGGAAAATACTGATCAAAAGTCAGGAGTGTCTAAATGGAGTTCTCATTAGATGGGTACCCACTGCAAAGGTTGTCAAAGCCATTTTGATTTTTAGAAGCAATGTCTAAACTGTTTTTTTATGGATATCCAGTCTTCCCACTGGTTCCAGATGATGAGGAAGAAATTCATACAAAGACATTAAAAAATAAATTATATATAAAAGTTGGAAATAGACATTAGGTGTATGTGTGGTCGCAGGACACAAGCAGTAACCTACAAATTAATGCTGAGTTTGAAATGGAAAAAGAAAAAAGAGGGAGAAAAGCAGACAAAGGGGTAGCTTTGAAGTACACTCCAATGTCACAGCTGAAGGACTCCATCATCAGAAATCAAAAGAGGACGTAGATGGATATTGCTTTATAAGTGCCCATAAAAACTGGATGTGCAGTAAGACAGCTGTAACAAGCTGAATGCTGTGAGCTAATCCATACTTTTTTCACAAGAGCACTGAAGCTAATCCATACTGGCATTAGGCTCAGTAATTACTCAGTGCAGGTGCATACATTTGTTATGCCTGCAGCCAGCTTTGATGCTGCTCCAGCACAAGCTGTTAGCTGGGAAGGACAGCAGCTGTGGGTATGTATTCTGTACCTGGCATTCATTAAGGCATCCAGTGCAGAGATCCCTGCCAGGACTGCTCAAAGTGTGCAACTTGTGGATTTTGTTTCTGGAAGTGCTTTGGATACAGAAAGCTGTGACTCATGCTCTCTTATTCCATCATAAGGATTAACAAAATATTAGAGTCTTTTAAAAATTATGCTGTGGCTGTAGGAATTTTTTGCCTCTACAGGTGTACATGTATAACTATACATAGGTATATGTGTGCCACTGTCTTTAGCATGAAGGCAATATTTAGTTGTTAAGCAGAGGACTAGGACCTTTCCAGGACTTAATCTGGAAAAAGGTGTCTAGTTTGCCTCTCTGATCTCCAAAACAGACTAAGATGCCATTGCACTGCAGATGTCAACTCTGATTATTATTTTCAAAAGCAGTTCTTTTGAATGAGCTTGAAGTATTTAAAGATTGATGGCCGTGACAGCTCAAAATGCTAAATATGTTTTTGGTGAACTGCAGAATAAAGGAGAGGAGCAGAGTGGAGCAGAAATATCATAACCAGCAGATTTTTCCAACAAACCTTTCAAGCTTTTCCTGAATTTTCAAACATGTACTAAGAACAGCTTGCTTACATCCCCAGATCTTTGGTGTCATTTCATCAGAATCGCTGTTTCTATTGGAGTATTGCAGAATGTCTACCTTAAAGAAGAAGAAAAACAAGCCATGAAAAGTGAGATCCAGATGAATTTTGGTAATATCTGGCTGTTTATCAGTTTGCTCTCTGCAAGAGATGAGTCAGTGTTCCTCCCACACTTCTTACCAACTTCTACACGGAAAGTGTCTCTCAAAAAACACCTTGATAATTTTATTTTAATTTTATGAGTGGGGTGCAGGTTTTTTAAAGTCTAGATGTATTTCTGGTACATCTTGGTTATTCTTAAATCAGACTTACCTTATTCTTATTGCTCAGACTTATCTCCCCAGTGATGCTGATTTAGTACTTCATGGGGCACCTCAGAAGTGATGAGGGTTTCAGCAGAAAGAACAACCTTTCTGACCAGCTACACTTTCCAGACAGGGGTGAGAAGCATAGAAGAGGAACAGATGTTTCCAGATGTGAATAGAAAGTGTTGGTCTCCAGACATTCCAATTCCCAATGCTTTCATATACATTAAAAAAAGTCAGTTGCAATTTTACCCCTTGAAGGAGAGGCTTCCTACCAGCTGTCTTTCTCTGCACACATGGAAGTTGGAAACCATGCTCACTTCAGTTGGAATACTGCATTCATTACTTCCTAAACATCCAAGAGGCTGGGGTTACAAACAACCAAAAAATGACTCCAAAATCCACTCCCAAAATAAACTGCAGAAAAGCCCTCAGCCTGTATGTTTTCCTGCCAGAGTTGAATTTTTAACTGGAGCTGTTTGACGTGTTTGCATGTTTCACATATTGCTTTTATCCCAGAGCGCGGGTTCATTAGGAACAGAAACGTGTCTCTCATGTGAGCTGGAGATGGGAAATTAGAGGCAGCCTAGTCACATCAAAGGGAAATGTTTTTGCCACAGCTATGGCACTCAAGAAGCGTTTTAATTTCTTTACCACAGTCTTACAATGTAATCTGATTTGGGCAGCTTTCTGTATCTCAGCCTCCTTGCTTTTAAATAGAGGGTCTAATAATAATTAATTACACATATTCTTTGCCTATTTGTACTAGACTGTCAGGATTTTTTCTCTATACATATCCCTCATCTTCTAAAACAAGAATCTAGTTTTCAGTCTTTTAGCCTCATAACAATAGAAATAATGATGTTGACTGCACAGAAAAAGGGCCATAATTAATTAAGAGAATGCGCTAGAGTCTGAGACTCAGATCAGACTCCTGTTCATCATTCAAGTGCTAAATCATTTGCAATAAAACTTGAAATTAAAGCTCTAACAGTTTTTTTAGTGCAAGAGACTTTTTTCTCCAAGAACATTTCCAATAATTTGCTATATTTCTAAAGAATTGAGCCCATGAATGAACTAGTTATTCATGGAAATATGGCTGCAAGGGCATCTCATTAAGGCAAATGTAATGATAGGTTGAAAACAATTAATCAAAGAGATCTAAAACCAGATCCTTAGAAAAAAGAAAAATATATGCTTTCATTATAGTTCGAAAACAGCCTAAGTATGGACAGATTGACTGTTTTTAACACACCTCTGTCTGGGGATTTTGGTGGACAATGGCTACTGGAAGGCCCCTTTCCTCTGTACACATAATCTTTGTCTGAGGTATCAGCTTTGTCCAGAATTAATTTGGCTTCAATAAAGCTGAATAGCAAATGTTAGCATTTTAATGCATGTAACATCATCTGCTATTAATGTGTCTATGCATGTGTGCAGTCCAGAGAGAGGGTAATGAGAAAGGGACAGTAGGATTGTGAAATTGTATCGATGTGTATTGTATCAAAGGATGTCAAGTGCTTGACTGCCAGTACTGAACTATGGAATATCAACTGAAACCTCAAGGAAATTTATTTACAACTGAGCAAACTGGAGGTGATGCCACTAGTCCTCAAAATGACCTTTACACTTTGATGAGAAATTATCCCAGCTCCCATGATCCCAAATATGCCTTGGGTTGGAGACACCCAAGGGCATTATATCTGCACTACTGTTTTAATTAGAGTTGATGTTTCCAAAGAAACAACATACCTTCTGCCTGCCAGAGCTAACAGGAATCTTTTGTAGGTCCAGGCATGCTTAAACTGAAAACAAAGGCAGTCTAGCAACTGATTTTTGGAAATAAAAGTGGAGAGGAGAAGCCCAAAAGTGATAGAATATAAATTGTGAGGACACCTAACTGTGAAGGTGGCCTTCAGGTGTTCCAGTAACTCGGTCATCCTGGAAGTGGAAAGATGGACAATGTCACCAGCCTGGTGTCTGCTGCTGTCGACTGTGCAGGTTTCTTCCTCTTTTATCTACAAAAGAGATTTTCTGCCTGTTTCCTTCTGTCTGATAAGATGGGCAGCACTATTTTGCCTTGTACCTTTAAAGCACTCAATTGTGCTTAAATGACTCCAGATGATCAGAATTAACCAGGAGAACTACAAAGCTCCAAAGGTCATATAACAAAGCAAGTCTTTGCTGTATGTATGCCTCACAAAACTTACAGACTTCACTGTGCTCTGAGCTCTTCAGGAGAGCTGCACATCCAGTTTAATGATGCCAGCAGCAGGTTCAGCATTAGAACTCAGTGGTGAAGGAGGAACGCCAGGATAGCTCCAGCTGAATTTCTGTGGAAATATTTCCTGAGAGATCAGGGTTGTTACAGATATCTAGGGTTTCTTTTAAGCTTTCACTGAAACATAGAAATTATTTGCAAGGAAGATAAATAGGACAAAAGCATGATTTCTTCCAAAAGTGTTTGGTACATTCAAGGCTCAGGTAGGAGGTTGCTGACAGAATTCCACTGCCGTGCAAACAATATAATCACATATGGGAAAAGCTCTTATGAAAAATCCTGCTGAAAAATGTTTAGCAAGAAGTTTAACAGCAATTCCTTGCTCAGCCTAATTAGAAAATGGGAAAATGGGAACACATTGGAACCAAAGAATATTACAATTTATTTGAGAATATAGAAATTTATTATCAATTATGGATGGAGTAGGAAGATCAGAATTAGCAAGCTTAGCTAACATGTCCTGTCAGCTATTAGTTTCTCTGTTAAATAGTGATAGGACTGAATAATAATTAGGTCCTGATCTTAAAACTGAGATGTAGAGTTCCCTCACAGGCTCAGAGCTGAGATACTTAGATCGATTACTAGTACCCAGACTTTTACAAGCATTT